GGGCAGGGGGGTTGGACTAGATGACCCACAGAGGTCCCTTCCAACCCCTACTATTCTGTGATTCTGTGATTCTGTGACTGCGCGTCCTCACCAAGGCCCGTATGGCCCCACGTTTAAATGACGTGGTGACTATTCACCAACTCTACTCTTTCTCAAACAAACACATGTAAACTGTTATTTGACACATTTATTCTGTGATTCTATGTAGTCTCAGCAGGCTTGAACCATTCAAGGTCCTCTACAGCCTACTGTGGGTGACCCTGCTTCGGCAGGGGGTTGGACTAGATGACCCACAGAGGTCCCTTCCAACCCCAACCATTCTGTGCTTCTGTGATTCTTTGATTATTAAATTATTAAACAACAAGCAGTGTCTAACCTTCTGCAAAGGTCACATGTTGCAGAAAATCTTTCCTCCAAAAGCTCGTCAGCTTGAGCGACACGTCCGTGCCCATCGCTTGCTTGAAAAACTCTCTCACCAAACGCCTGTCACGCTTGAAAATCGAAACCAACTTGGGAAGAGCAACTCTCCAAAGGCTGTGGTACATCCTCAAACTGCTCTCCGGCGCAGCAGTCCTGGTGTTTCAGCACAGCTCACAAGCCTGAGAGCGTCTTGAATGGTTCACAGCCTTCGCACTCCCTAACACAGGCAGTGCATCTTCACCGCTGCTCTTCCAGAGAAGTGTCTGTCAAGCTGTGATGGGCTTTGAAAAACGAACAGTCAAACACTATTTCGCAGTATAATTTAGCGCATGTTCAATTACATCAACACAAACAGGTTTTCATAATAGTTAGATTTCACCTGACGGAAGCACACTGCACTCTTAACTCCTAGATTTGAAATGATGATGATGATGATGTCTTGGAAAGCACCAACAATGTATTCAGTGCTTTAAAGTGATGCTTAAAAACCTGGGTGCCCCCAGTTGCTTAATGGCGAGCATGGCAAGCAGACGTCACACCAGGCAGGACGCGAAAAGCAGAATGAAAGCGCTGCGAAGCACAGGGCACCTTCCTTTAATTACCTGACTTTGATCTCGCTGGCCTTTGCACCACTTAGCTTTCCTTCAGGAAAACTGATTTTCAGGGCTTGTTGCTGTGAATTGGCTGTCTAGAGACAGGCCAATTAAACATTTTTCTCTACATTTTTTCATTCTCAACTGTTGGGTTTCATTATGTTAAAATGATCGGTGATGTATTTCTCATTTACTTGGTTATTATCAGTTCCTTAGCCACATCTGAAGCCAGCATGTATTGTGATAGAAACAGGAATCCAATAAAGCTGTTCATGAGCTATTGTGAAACAGGCAGTAGACGTTTCAATGGAACTTTTTGTGTAAGAAACACAGAAAAAGAAGATCAGCATCTCAAAAGCCTTTAAGTGCAGATAACTGGTTTATTACATAAAGGGCACACCCCATATAGTCGCTGAGTTGGACACCCGATTGTGTCTGGTTACTGCATCCTTCCCGACTGCAGAAGATCCTGTTCACTCGGACCTTGCCTTTATTCCTAAATTAAAAGGTAATCTTTATTTCACTCCCCAGTTGGCTTTTCAGCTTTCAATATATCCGTTTTTGAAACAAATTGACTGAACAAACAGAAGTTACAAAAACACTCCCTCTGCACGGACGGGGAAAGGTCCTGCTCTCAAAATGCGGTCGATCAGTTCAAGCTCCTGGCTGCAGGCGCCTGGCCAGAGACCCCTCTGAAGTTTCCTTCAGCAGAAAACAAACACCACTTAAATATTCTTCTTGTTACGTTTTAGTAACTTTTGAAATATTTAAGCCTGAAATTATTATCAGGTGAACTGCAGTTTTGCCTCTGCTTATTTTTAAAGCAGTGCTTATTCTCTTCCATTTCCTATTGTAAAGAGTGAGTGTTGCACACCTTGATTTCCTTGAAGGGAAATGTGGGGATTGGGAGCAAATTCCTGTCCTTGAAATCATTGGCGAGGGGAGGGGAGGGGGGTCTGACCTGACCAGCATGGGGATTTTACCCCTCAAGATAAGGAGAGGCATTCTCCAAGCTCATCTTAAATTCCGTTCTGCAGAAGTCGGCCCTTGTCGCTGCACGTCAGCCAGGCAAAGGCCACCAAATCCTCTGCGCAGGCTCTGCCGCTGCTCCGGTGTTTCTGCAGCCACCGACAGCAGAGCGACCCGAACGCTGGGAGTATCGTCATGAATTCACAAACCACCATTTCAGTCGGAACCCGGGATGCGAGAACAACGCCTCTCCTAAGCACGCTGAAGTTCCATCCAACTCTTACTAAAGTCAACAGACACTGAGATTTCCTCTAACATACTAGCTTTGGACAAGATTTTTTAATAAGCAGAAAGATATTACAGATGAAGAAAACCTTCCATCACACATTAATTTACTCTGTAGGTCCTGATGTTTTTCATCTCCCTGATATTATACTTCACGATTGATATTCCTGTTATTTATGGAAGGATCTCTCTGGAAGGTGTACAGGAACAAATTAACTTCCAGGGGCCGAGCTCTGGTTTTGGTTACCCCCCATAACCCTACCGATGCAAGCAGAGCCTCGCCCAAGCTCACGCAGGGCAGCAGCCGATCTTGCTGGAACAGGCAGGTGACAGTGGGGAAGTCCTGAACGGAGACACGAGCTACACGATCCTCATGCACCCTGCCAGCCTGGTGTTCTGTACCACGTGCAGCTCAGAGATAAACTTGTGTCCAATTCCCAGTGCCAATCACGCAGGGTGACAGTGATGCCTTTTTTTTTTTAAATAGAGTTATCAACATGTCGATATTTAAAGCATCTCCCCTGAATTCCACAAAAAAGCAGACTTTTAATCTGCAGTAACAATAGTACGTGGAAAAATGTGCGTTACTAAAGTGCCACCTGCTGTACTGAGTAACATGTTGGAGGATGGCAGCAGCGACTGCTTCCAGGCACTCTGGGCCTGCAGCTGCATTCTCGGGCCTTTTTCAAGCTCTTTTTTATTTACTTCACTTTGAAGATCCGTGCTGGCAAAGTGACCAAAGATTTGTTGCCGACTACCACAGCATTAAGGCTCTGCTCTCTCATTAAAGCTTAGATTGATTATTCGGTGCTATAAAGGAGTGGCTTTCGGAGGGAAAAATCCCTCATCGAGGTTTGAAGCTCCGCAGGCTGCGCTGCCCGTCTGCCAAGCACCACTCCAAACCAGGCTGTGGGCACAAACACAGGCGCAGAGTGAGACCTGTTGCTGCTGCAGCCCCCGTCGGCGAGCTCTGCAGAGCCGCTCAGCCACCGTCTCCTCGTCGTCTGGCTCCTTCCCCTCACTCTTCTAATTCTGGAGTAGAGAAAAGCCAGATTTTGCACAGCCCTTCTTCAAAATTCCAGCACAGCCCTTCGGCTGGGACCTGCTCCGGCTGCAGGAAAATGCAGGTTTAGTGCTTTCTGATTATTACGGACGTTTCATAACTGGGAATTTGTCCACAGCCCTCTGCGGCAGGCAGACCAGACACCCCAGCACATTCTTCCAGTGCACTTACACTGCTCTATACTTTTATAAATAAATAGCAATAACACTGTCATCTCGCCTCATGAACTGGAGAGTGGATGTGATAAAAACCAGTCCTGTAACCAGATGCCAGATGGTTTTTCCACAGGATGTAGCTTCAGAACGGGAGGGAAAGGGAATAAAAACTGCCAGGAAAGTATCATTTGCTATAAATAAGCACGTTGCATGTACTTCATTCAGTAACACTGGTCAGCCCAGGCACAGCAGGTCTTGCCAGCTCATTACCAGCCCCAAAAAGCACGGAAGGGGGTCGGGGCGGTTTGCAAGAGGAGCTGCCACGCGCAGCCCACGCTGCTCCGGTCCCACAGCGGAGACGGAGGCCGGGGCCCCGCCGCCACCCACC